GAGAAGGGCGGCATACAAATAAATTAAATCTTAAATCTTAAATCTTACCGACCGCTTAGGATCACTATTCAAGGCAGATGGGAGCCCTACATGGAAAAGGAGGATGACGGAAGCTCACATTGGCCTTACAAAAGGGTAAGGAACAAGACGCACAACTGAGAAAGCGGGAGAAGCGGTACAAAAATAGGTCAATGTGGGCTTCATCAATTATAGAAAGGTCACAGATTGTGTCAACCACCTCAAGCTGTGGAATATGCTTAGAGAACCAGGAGCTCAGAATAGCTCATTGTCTGCACGCAAAACCTTTCCACAGGACAGGAATTCCGACGGGAGGGAAGATGGTGAAACTCCAGGGCTGCAAAGACGTAAGAGAAACTGCGCAAGCAGTGCGCGGCTTACGACGGCCCATTTAGTGAACGTTCAAAGTTACAACAGCACTAAGAAATGCGAGGGACGGCCATTTTTCAAAAGTTTTACAACATTTTAAATCTCACGGGCCACTAATACAATCTGCCGAATGACCGGGTGGGTGGGTGTGGCTAGGTAGTCATGTGACTGGGTGGGTGTGGCAAACTCGATGTCACTCACATTGAGGGGCGCCGCGCCAGCCTCTACTCGCCCCTCCCCTCCCAGCCACTCCTCGCCTCCCCGCCCCGACTCCTTAGGGCCCTAACAGGAAGCAGTTGTTGGAATGCAGCCACCATGAGAAAGAGTTGGCAAAACACCTGGCTCAGTTCAAATTGGATCTGACCGAGAAGGAGGCTCAGCAGAAGCACTTCACTGAGGACTAGGAGCATAGGCTTTCCAAGCAGAGGAAAGACCTGCGGGAGCGCAAGGCCAGGTACCAGCACCTGGAGGCTCAGCAGGGTGAGATGGTCAGCCAGTTGCAGGCCATGATGCAGTCCCACTGGCACACGGCCCTCTGGCTCTTCGCCACCAGCGGCACTTCCCTCCAGCTTTCGCCCAAAGTCCCGCACCAGGAGGCTGAAGCAGACCCCAAGTTGGAATTTCTGCCCCCTCTGACCCGCACAAAAAGACCCCGAAGGGGGAGACTCTCTGCAGCAACACAAACGCTCATTGCACGTATCCATCCCAGGGGCCGTAGTTTGAGGACCCCCCGATTTAGTGCAATATAAAAAATGCAAATAATTTTTCTGCGGGACCACCAAAATTTTCTCATGGACCACCAGTTGGTGACCGCTATTCTAGGCCAACCCTCTGGGCTAGATTTTATCTTAATAAATTTTATCTTTAACTTTATCTTAATAAAATTCCCAGAAAGGTACATGCCCCAAAATCATCAACCCAAGAAAAGACCCCCGTTTGTTAACCACATATGAAGGCCATCAAGATCAGGAGTATGTGGACATTGGAGGAATCACAGTAAAGGAAAGGAACTAGGAACAAGAAAGTGCCCAACTGAAAAAGTTGGGAATCCCCATTTAAGCAAAATCATGACTAGGTAGACAGACAATTTTCTGGACGTTTACCTTCGGTATTTCAATTTCCCAGATGACAAGCTCTGCCTTATTGCAGTCCGTTCCCATCTTGGCAGTCAGGCAGCTGTCATTCTTGCGGAGAGCACAGCCGCTGTCCACCGAGTCCATGCTGTTCACGTCAGAGCCTAAAAAAGAAAAGCACCCACGTTCCTTCACTTACAGGGTGATGAAATGCTGGGCAAGAGAGAGTGTAGCAAACTCACTTTCGATCCTCTCATTCCGCTTTCTCCCTTGACATAAGGAGCTATAGAGGTGGGCAGAACAAACTTCTCTAGCCCAGGTGATGCCCCTCCAGTCAGTCAATCAGTCAATCTCTCTCTTTCTCTCTCTCTCCCTATCGTCTAATCTATCATCTAATCTCTCTATCTCTCTATAATCAATCATATCTATCTATCTATCTATCTATCTATCTATCTATCTATCTATCTATCTATCTATCTATCTATCTATCTATC